ATATATCTCAGGGAACATTCAGACAGCTGGGATTTCTTAGAAAGATGTTCAATGGAGGCCTGATAAAAGTTGTATGGAATTTTCTCTTCTCATTAAATAAGACTGATAGATATTTATGAAGGTCTCTCCTCTAGCCTTCTCTTCCCATTAGGCAATGAAGATAACTGAGTTTGAAAATCCCTCCACAGGGTTATTTAAGGTTATGTACATGGAGACCCAGGGTTCCTAGGCTTATACAGAGCACATGCATGTAAAAGACTCATAGGTTTTCACCTGTCCTAAATGTCATTCTCTTTTGCTTACAGATACAACTAGCTTCACACACATACACACCACACACACACATAATACACACACACACACACACACACACATATACATGCACACACACAGAAGGAGAAAGAGAGAGAAGGAATGAGAAATTAAGATATATGTTCACTTACTATCATAAATAATAAGATGTTCGGTTTTCAGTTTATTGTAATCGTTGGATGAGATTGATGACATGTTGAAAATTGAATAACTTTTGTTAAAGTTTTGAAAATACATCTCCTTAGAATTTTATACAAACATTTTGAGTGTTAAAGCTTTTGTTAAAACTAATTATGATATAACTATTACCTCAAGAAAAGCAGTGCTGTCTTAAGAGTACATGTTTCCTGTGCTGTCTCATAAAAGCTAAATAAAGAACAAGTAGCACTTTCTATGTACCTTGCTTCAGGTAAATAAGTAAGGTGACAGTGAAACAACATATTTTTCTCGGTAGTTAGGCACAGAGTCAACCTCTAATAAGGTAATGAAGCAAGGAGCATGCTCTATTTGCTTTTCACCGGTAGTATGTAAGGATCTGGTCTCTAGGGAAGGCAGGTTCAACTAAGACTTGCAGGAAACACCAGGCCTGGGGGCTTTACTCAGATATGCACTCCCTTAAGTTCCTCCATACGCGTCCTAACATGCTTTAGGAACAAGTGATTAGACCTATGGCCTATTGTAAGACACTGAAAAGAATCTGTTCTGAAGTCACCAAACAGGATGGCTCAGAGGGTAAAAGCACTTGCAGTCAATACTGGTCACCTGAGCTCAACCCCCAGGGCCCACATGATAAAGGAGACAGCTAGCTCCTATAAATAAGTTGTTTTCTGACCTCCATGTGGGCACAGTAACACCATCATAATCCCCATTAAAATAATAAACATTCAATATATACAATTTGTATTGAGATAAGACATGCAATATAACATTTTCTGTCTAAACCAAATTTTTTTTTTAATTAAAAATTATTTTTCACCAAGAAACTATTTGTAATATAGCTGCTGGCAAGGGGAAAAATCACTGCTATCCAAAGGAGTGCCACTGGGTACGTCAGTCACCAAGCTCCGTGGCAGGTGCCATGCCCAAGAATAGTTGGCTAACACAAAATGAACTTCATGGGTTTTTTTTTTTTTTTGAGTGTGTGTGTTTGTTGGGGGGTGTTTGCTTAATTTTGGCATTTTTTGTTCTACTAGTCTTTTGTTTGCTTAGATTTTCATTTTGTAGGCTGTTATTATTATTACTATTTTGAGAATGAGAAAGAACATATGTTTGGTGGGAAGGGAGCTGAGGAGAATCTGTGAGGTGTTGGGGGAGGGGAAATATGATGAAAATAAAGCATTTTAAGTACACAGTTTGGTTGTCTTAAGTGTCTTTATATACTGTGACCATCAAGACTTCTCTTACAGAGCCTGTTCTCTTCTTAGATGGAAGCTGTGCCATAAGTGGGATATCTGGAAGCTGAACAGATTTTTGTGCCCTTAATTTTGTGTTCCATACTTCTCAGAGAATAACTATCTGTGGTTTTGACTCATTTTTGATTTGTATTTTTACTCTTTGTAACTGTTGAGTTTTGCAAATTCTTTGCATGTGCTAGATACTAGTCCTTTAATGTGTCTATCGTTTGTAACTACTCTCTCCCAGTCTGCAGCTCATCTTCCCACCTCTTCACCGAGTACACTTCAGAGAGTTCAGGCAGCTGCTTCTTCAGAGATCAGCGAACCACAGCCCCACAGGTTTTATTAGGTGTTTCCCATATTAAGCACTTGATGCAGCCTTGCTGAAAGAGTGACATGAAAGAGAAACTCCTAGAGTTACTTATAACTTGTGCTGGTGACTCCTCCTGACATCTCAATCCTGTTGGGTTTGAAAACCGTAATCTCAGATTGTGTTATACCTCTCCTGCTTCAGTGACACACTGCAGGAGATTGTGGGAGAAATACTGCATTTCTAGGGCCGGGAGGTAGAGTCCGAGGGACCAAGAAGAAAGGGGAACTAGGTAAGGTACACTGATGTAGGGATTCGTGGGGGCTTCTGCCGGCCTTCTGAGGCCCCTGATTGGTGCTTTGCTGATGTTTGCACCCGTGTGGTGCAAGCACAGTGTGGGTGTTGCTGGCCTCTGAACCAAGGCAGTAGAATAAAGCCGGCTTAGAATTCATTATGTTCTTTCCTCTACGTACTCGCAGGGAAAAAGCCAGCTTCACTTACAAATGCCCTTAACCATCAGTAAAAGTAACTCTTTTCACTGAATCTCTATTTTGAACCTTTTCCATGATGCAATGGTGTGTACAAGCAGTGATCGAAGCCAGGAGCCTCTGGTAAGAACTTTCCACACAACGCCAGAGTTTCCGTGACACAACTTTCACGGAAACCATTTGTTTAAACTTGAGTATTCGGTAGAGATTTTTTTCCCCGGAAATACACAGTGAGGTCACAGAATTCCTGGGAATGTGAACTACATGTAGCATGTGTTCAAGATCACTTTCCACCCAGAGCTCCTGTCCCATGTTCTTCAAGGCATCCTTACCTTGAGACTTGGAGTTACTTAATCAATGACTTTGGTAACATATACTTGCTTTGGAGTCCACCATCATGACAGAAGAATTCAAGTTCCTGTAAGATTATCATAAAGACTTCTAACAAAAGGGTTTAAAGAAGTATGGTGAAAATCGGACTTTGTGTGAGACAGGATGAGACTATTTGATATGTGGCCATCTTCCTGGCCCTCTGTCCTACTAACAGCGTAGCAATTAGTAAACATCACATTAATTACCTGCCTCTTTGCTACCTCTGATCACAAGACTGAACCTTTTGAAGGCAGGGCTTTCTGTTATCGAGCGTGAGATATTTTTAAGTCAGCAGCGGGCTTGGCACACGGCTAACATGTGGCATTCTTTGTGGGAGGAACACATTTTCCTCTGCCTGTGTTGGTCCCCTGCTGCTGTCTGTGTTCAATTCCATTGCTATTGTTGCTGAGACAGGATTTCTCTGTAGTCCTGGCTGGCTTGGAACTGGCTGTGTAAAGCAGGTTAGCCTCAAACTCACAGAGATCCACCTGCTCCTGTTTCCCAGCTGCTGACATTAAAGGCAAGTGCCACCGTACCCAAGTACATTCACCATTTCTATATTTGAAACAATAGCAACTTTGATATCTCTTAAGAATTTTATCATATTTCTGGCCAATGTTGGCCCCCAAAATGTATTTTGAACATGACATGAAGGTGGAGTAAGATGTACATAGTAATATGTATTTTATAGGATTATACATGTTACGCAAATACATTTATATAGTTAGACATATATATATATATATATATATATATAATTTTAATGTGTACACCATATGTAATTTTTTTACTATCTGAGGAAAAATCATTTCTGACTCTGCTTTTCTACTCATCTAACTTTAGTATTTCTATTTAGGACCTATAGAAAAATAATGTAAGAAAAACTAAAATCACACCAACCTTAATCTCTTTGGGACACTTGTTTTTAGGTGAAGTTTTGAGGCCCTCTGTTTATTATTCTATCTTGCTGTTTTCTTAATGAGCACAGTGTGGTGATATTTTGTTTGTTTTCTAACAAATAAACTTACATATATTATATAACTACTACTACTATATTATATAACTACTACAGTGGTGGCACACACCTTTAATCCCAGCACTTGGGAGAAGGAAGTGGGAAGATCAGGAGTTCAAGGCCACCCTGGGCTACACAAGATTGTGGATCCAGTCTAAAAGAGAAAGAGTCAGGCAATAGAGGCTCACACCTTTAATCCCAGCACTTGTAATCTTGTACCTTTGATCCCAGTACTTGAAAGGCACAGGACTTTAATCCCAGCACTAGGGAGGTGGAGACAGGAAGTGATATGGCTGGGTAGAGAGAGGAATATAAGGCAGGAGGAGACAGGAGCTCAGCCCTTTTAGGCTGAGTTGGTGAGGTAAGAGGTGGCTGTGGCTTGCTCCTTTGTCTCTCTGATATTTCAGCATTTACTCTGATATCTGACTCTGAGTTTTATTATTAAGACAAATTAGGATTTGTGCACTACAGCAGAATCCTGTTGGTGGAACACAGGTGCAATCATTGATATTGACCATCACTGTGACAGAATCTAGAATCATCTAGACAAGCTTGTGGGCACAGCTGTGTATGGTTTTGTAGAATAATGCTCACTTCTGAGGATGTCAGTGAGGGATTGTCTTATGCTAATTGTTTAGGAAAGATCCACTTAACTGTGGGCAGAACTGTCTGGGTAGAGGATCCTGCACTATACAAAATGGAGAAAGCAAGCTGGGCACTCTTATGCATTTCTCGCTCTTTGTTTTCTGAGTGTGGATGAAATGTGTCCAGTTACTTCAAGTTCCTGCTGTGTTGGTTTCCCCACAATGATAGACTGTACCCATGAATGTGGTCCATGACAATCCTTTCCCCTTGAGTTGCTTTTGTCAGAGATTTTTCTTTTGTTTTGTTTTTATTATAGCAACAGGAAAAGCAACCAAGACAACAGACAGCACACAACTGAGCCTGAGTATGATGTTTTGTCCATGCAGCATTTCTAGAGCTTGGGATCTGAGGTCCTTAGTTAATAGCTTTACAGGCAAGTATTGATCACTGGTATTTATTTTTTAATTGTTAATGAATTTTTCTACTTTAATGCTTATACAATTGTTTGCTTTGTACCAACAGACAACATTAAAAATCAGCAGAGCTGGTAATGGGAGAGAAGCAATCAAAAAGAAGTTGCTGTAGTTGCGATCATGAAGTTTTAAAGGCACTTCAGAATTTCTGGGGAACTTGTGTATTACTCTTGCAAAGGTAAAATGATGGCAGTAGTTGCCTGGATCCAGTGAAGAGGGAGGAGGAACTGGTGAACAGAGAGGATTCGTAGCATTGAGACCACCCAGTAGGGTACCACAGGGGTTGATGCATGCCATCACACATTTATCCAAATCATACAAAGTACAGTACCCAAGCAAACAACAATGTAAACTATAGACTTCAGTGAATAACTAATTCAGCAGTATTAGCTCACCAGTTGTAACAAGCATACTACTATAGTTAGGGGTGAAGATACTGGAGAGACTGTGGCTGTACTGCAGAGATCTGTTTAAATGTGAGAAGTCCTCCAAAGTTTGCATGCTGAAACTTCAGTCACAGTGCGATGGCCAGAGGTGGGGCTTTAGGGAGTTGGAAAGTGAGCTCTGACTGAACCAGTGCATCAGTCTATTAATAGATTCACAACTGAGTGGACTAGTGGGGAAGCTGGGACTGCTTTGAGGAAGAGCATCACTACGGCTGAAGGTGTGTCACAACAGCTTCTTCTTGGCCACTCTCTATATCCCTCTCCCTCCCGTCCTGGCCACCGCCAGTGAGCAGTTTCAATCTGCTGCACTCACATACATGTTTACCAAAGACCAGAAAGCAGTGGCAGCAAGGACATGGACTGAACCTTTAAAGAAACACAAGTTAATGTAAACTGTTCTTTGTTTAAGTTGCTTTTCTTAGGAATTTGTCACAGTGATGAGAAAGGTAGCAAATATTAGGGGAGATCCTTTCACCTTCCATTCAATTTCTATCATGACCTTGAAACTCTTCTAAAACATAGTCTATTAAAAATGTTGGACTTGGCTGGGATGTCACTCAATGGCAGATGACATGTCTCACATGCCCAAGGGTCTGGGTTCAGTTCCCAGTATCACACACTGAAAGTTAGGCAACATGTAACCTTATGATATATCTTCCTGTAAGTGTTATAAAATAAAACCACTTCCCCTGGAAAATTAATGAGCAAAGTATTTTTGCTTGACATCCTTAGTATCAGAATGTACTCACTTTAGTTACAATGGAAAGATATGTGACTTTTATTTTCCCAGAAATTATGTTTCATTTTTATAATTAGTGGTTTAAAAAGGTATATGTAAGCAAGGGACTTTTTGAGATATTAAATAGTCAATCTGTCTCATAAACAATGACTTACTGTCCAGATTCTCCAAGTCCTGTACTAAGGGTTCTAACATATGCAGAGCTTTAAAAACTCTAATTTGTTATTTCTTCACGTATTAGGTGGCTGGCTTGCCATTTTCTGTGCATTTCACACACACACACACACACACACACACACACACACACACATATACAAGTCATATGTTGTAAATATATATAATTTATTTTCAACAACTCTGACAGTAGGGACAGACTCAATACTCCAAACTCATGACATTTGTAGTAACTTTAACTTCATATTCTGTACAAAAATAAAGTTAAGACAAAATAGGATATAAAAGTCGTTTAGCCAACATCTTCTTAAAATTAGTTTAATTCATTTTTGAATGTGTGTGTGTGTGTGTATGTATGTATGTATGTGATTGTGGTATGTGTGTGCTGTGTAAGCATGTGTGTGTGCTTATGTGAAGACAGAGGAGAGCATCAGGCCCCTGTCTATCTGCCTTATTCCTTTGTGACAGGGTCTCCATGGAACTGAAGCTAAGCTGATGGGCAGTACCCACCAGCCAATCTTCTGCTTTCATCCCCGCAGCACTGACCTTTCAGGAACATGTGGTCACCCACCACAGATGACAGGAACTCAGATTCTGTCCTGTCTGTGTGGCAAGTGCTCTTACCCACTGAACTTTCTTCCTACTCCTGGAATACTAAAATTAAAATGCATCATTTAGATTATTCACAATTAAAGAATAAAGTAGGACAGAAGGGATATCCAGAGAAATTATTTATAGACTTAGAACAGGTTATTAAAGTTAGTAGTCAAAGTAAAAGATGATACTAATAAATTTAGGAGAAAGTAGTGATAATTAAGCTCTTACCAAGTAACAATGAGAACGTGTAAGTGGACCTTGAAGCCCTGGGTGATGTATTTTATTTTATTTTAGGAGCAGAAAGAGGAAAGTTGTGAACATGCTTGCTAAAATGACCAAGTAGAGCTAAAGTCCTTGGAAAAGTTCAACTCTGAACGCTTAGTTTTAATGACCTCAGCTGGAAGTCCCAGGCCCTCATTAATGTGGTCCTTTAGAAACCTCTGCCTCAAGGAGAGGAGTAGTTTCCTCTTTAGTTTAGATCTGGAATCTTCCCAAAAGGCTCTAGTGTTAAAAATTTCAGTCCCTGGCTGGCACCACTGGGAAATGATGGGATCCTTAAGAAACGGGACTAAGCAGAACATTGAGGGAGTGCCTTTGATGGGACTGTGTGTTCTGGCCATGACCTTAGCCCCAAGGAGTGGCACTCCCAACCTGTGCTGCCTTGTCATGGATCCAGAATAACATGGCCCACCCATCCTAACTGAAATGTCCCAAACCGAGCAATTTTCTCTTCAGAAGTAGATCATCTCGGGTGTCTGTGCCTTCCTGGAAATATACTGTCACCATGTGCTAGTTAGGTTTCATAAAAGGTAAGGGAGGGACTGGGAGCAGGGCTCATGCTACAGCTGGCATTGATGTCTGAAGAATTTGTCCTGAATTAGTCTAAGCTGCTATTTCTCTCTTGGACCCAGGTGGGCATCTATGCTGACCCTACCTCACTGCACATCTACACTCTTTCTCAGCTCTGCTGGGGTGCAGGCTAGCAGTCTGAGGGAAAAGCCAGAACGGTCAAATTCGGCAAGCTATAGGGTAGGAACACCTCTATTAAGAGAGTCGTCTTTGGCCGGGCGGTGGTGGCGCACGCCTTTAATCCCAGCACTCAGGAGGCAGAGCCAGGTGGATCTCTGTGAGTTCGAGGCCAGCCTGGGCTACCAAGCGAGTCCCAGGAAAGGCGCAAAGCTACACAGAGAAACCCTGTCTCGAAAAACCAAAAAAAAAAAAAAAAAAAAAAAAAAAAAACGAAAGAGAGTCGTCTTTGTTAGGAGCCTGCCCTCACTCCTGCACATGCGCAGCTTGGGGTCTTGCGTCTTACGTCATCAGGGGGCACTGGCAACTACACTGGCACAGAGTGGTCACTCAACCTGCACCTGAAAAAGCCGACTGCAGACCCCAAGCTCACTCTCTTTGCTCTCTCTCTCTGTTCCCTGCTCTGCTCTACTCCCCCCCTCCGCCCCCCCCCCCCATCTTCCTATCTCTCCAGGTCTGGCTCTCTTCTTTCCCTTACCCCCTTTCCCTCTTAATAAAGCTCTAAAAATTAACAGTGGGTTCTGTCGTGACCAGTCCACGCAGTAACCAGCCCTGCCACCAGCGCCATCTATCTTTCATTCTCGCCTCAAAAGACAGGTGGGGAAGTCAGGTCCAGAAAAACTGAAGCAGAAACTCACAGTCCAGATGGTCAACCATGTGAATTACAATCTTTAAACCACTGGATAAAAGTCATTCCTTTTTGTAAAGATTTATGTTACATTCAGAATTATGTACCCATGTGTGTATGGACAGGGGTGGGAGAGTACGTGCACATGAGAACTCAGGCGCCCGTGGAGTCTAGAAGAGGATTTCAGATCCCCTGGAGCTGGAGTCACAGCTGACTGTGAGCCACCTATAGTAGGTGCTGGGAATGGGACTCAGGCCATCTCCTAGAGCAGCACAGTACATGTTCTTAATGCTGAGCCTTCTCTGCAGCCTCCAAGGCTTCGTTTGTGTTTCCTTTTGCTCCACTTCAGATACTATCCAGACTTAAAATTGTGAACGATTTTATATCTTAATATTCAATTGATGGGATCATATTATAGAAGATGCAGTCCACTGATATTTCTGGGTATTTTGGAAAGATCTATATATATTTTATAATTTACATTTTATACTCATAATTTTTGTTTCTCCAATGTGAACATCTGTATTCTTTCTTAAAATGGGATGTGAAATATGCATTTTAATGTGGGATAGAGTTCAGAAGCAAATCGTTGCTTTCTCAAAAATTTCTGCAATGAATAACTAATCATAGACTTAGCTTACATCTTTGTTGTAAGATTTCATTTTAATAATTATTAATTATTTCCCCTTGGGTGTGAATTACTAGCCTGGGTACTTTCCTTCCTCTTCTGTTCTGTTCTGTTGACCCCTGTGTTAAGGAGATGGAGTCAAGGCATTGTGACACAAGTCAACCCTCCGTCAAGGACTGCTTCTGCCACCTCCCTGGAGCTGTTCTTCACAGAGTTTTAAGTAAGCTCTTTGCATTAAGTTTAGTCACATTTGTCTGTTTTATCACGTGTGTGTGTGAGTGTGTGTGTGTGTGTGTGTGTGTGTGTGTGTGTGTGTATGTGTATGTGTGTGTGTGCACATGTGTGTGTATGTAATGCGTGTACATGGAGGCAGAGGACAACTAGCATTAGGCAGTTCTCCTCTCTTAGGATTCCTGGGAATCAAAATCTGGTCGGCAGGACCGGCATCACCATCTTACCCACTGAGCCATTTTCACTAAAATTTAAAGAGGAATTCTTATCACTTCCCCTGTCCTTCTTGTTTCAATGAAGGCAAACAGCAGATTTCAGGTCTTGCTAACTCTGCTCTTCATGCACTTCACCCCTGTGCCTTGTGCCCTGAGGGTTCTCTGTAGTGAGCCTCTCTGCAGTTCTCCATGGACAGTCTGAGTTCTTGTCAACCTTGCGTCTCTCTCACCTGCTCTGCTGAGCTGAGCCCTCACTTCTCCTTGCTATTCCTCTTCTCCCAGTTTGTCCTTAGAAACCCTTCACTTGAGTCCACAGCTACCCATCCTCTTCCTCGTGACCCTTTTCCCAAAGTCGTCCAATGTTGGGTCTCTAATGCTGTCCCTGTTTTCTGTTCTTTCCCTGTGTACTGTACCCCTTAGACCTCTCTTTGCTTCAGGGTCTGCAACTCTGTCCTCATAATTTTTTTTTTTAATGATCACTAATTAAGACTTCTATGTGATCCAAACCAGTTTTTTTCAAGAACTTCCTGACTTTTTCTACTTGGGTTTCTCTGACTGCTTCATGAGATTAACAAACAGGAAGCTTAACCCTGAGTTTCCAGGTTCCTTTCTTCAAGTCAGACTCCAGCAGTCTGGGAGTTACCATATCACACTCTACTACTTCACATCTTAGCATCTCACCTCCTCTTCAGTCTGGTGGATGCCACTTCCTCCACAGCTTTTGTGTCTGTCTGTCTCTCTGTCTTCACTGCCACCAACATAAACTAGCTTCAAATGACCATTTGCTTGGACACTCTTAGCGTCTCTTACTAAATAGCATCCACCCACACCTCCACCAGCTCCTTTGTCCATGAATTCCTTCTGGAATTCTACAATCCAGTTGTCTCTTCACCAGGAAAAGCCTTTGGTTTCATAATTGGTAGAGGTCTGGGCTGCCCAGGCAACCCCAGAAATCCTGAGTTTAAACACTCCTTTTGTTCCCAGGGTCTTCAGGCCTGGGCTGGGAAAAAGCGTTCATGATGCAGAAATGGAACTCCCGTTTCTTTTCTCTGTGCTCTGAGAGGACCTGCTCTTTATGTCACAGCAGGTACATTTGCACTCATAGTAGATTCTAGGTGGTGTAAAAGCTGATACTGTTTTGTTGCCTGGAACTCAACCACTATTTTTATTAAATGAATAAAAACTTGCATTTCCCAAACTCAGATGGCATCATGCTCTTTTCATGGTGGCAGCAAGCCAAGGTGTAGGAAGCCCTCCACAGAGCTCAGGGAGTTCTGGTCATCTCGGGAGTGCATCTTTTGGCTATTTTTATGTTGTTTGCTTTATGTCAAAATTTTTCATTTCATTCTCCCTGATCATTTAATAAAGTTTCCCTTTTAAATGTCAAATGACTCCAAATGTCAGGAGTTGAGAAAAAAAAGTATGTGTGTGTGTGTGTGTGTGTGTGTGTGTGTGTGTGTGTGTGTGTGTGTATCTGTGTCTCCTTTTGTTTTGCTTGGCATATGCTATTGGGAGTTTTGCTTCGCTTTGGTGTATGTTGTCAAATCTTTTACTTCAGGGTTTCTAAGCCTGTCAGTCTTTATCTTCATTATTATTTTATTTATAATTGAGATTTTTGTGTGATCTAAACTCATCTATGCAGCCATTTTCTAAATTTTTGAGAGTCTCATAGTTGCAGCATAAGATTCAAGTGAGAGAATGCAGCACTGTGGAATAGTGAAGGAAACAGAGTCATTTGTCCCACAAGCTGTTCAATGTGGATGACTCTGCCCTCTATTTAGAGAGAAATTTGATCCAAGTCTGATATTGCAGCACAATGGAAAAATTGCACATTGGAGACCTGAGCATCTTGGTTCTTCATAATAGTGAATTCCATCCTGGAGTTCTTGTTAGGATTATTTTTATGTATTACTGATGTTCTCATTTACAAGTTCCCTTTGTGACTTGGAGTATTTTCTACTTATTATTTGTTTAGTAATTTCCCATTATTTATTTATTTATTCATGTTTTATGATCACAAATTCATACAAAAACCAACATAGACCAATGTGGACATGCTACAGCTTATCTTATGATCATTGGCATTTTGCAGAGAATTTATAAATAATTCAGAGGAAATTTTGTGTCATTAACAAGGAAAATGAAAGGAAAAGGAAAGCTTTCTTCCAAATGCACCAACCGTTAATCCATAGACTAAAGAACAGTCCTCACCTGGGTTAAGACTTTGCATTCAAATTCTCACAACTGTGTAAGAAAGCTCAACGCCCACACCCCAGGATCTTGGTCCTCTTCAATTTTCTCTAATTTGTGTAGTGAATAACCAAATACTCATAATGCAATTAGAAGATAATCAGGCTTGTAATTATGTTAATTGCTGGAGACTTACATCAATCCTCCAGCAAAGTGATAGGATTTCAGGGCAAGTATTAATGTGGCAGGAGAATGAGGAGAGGCCTGCACAAGAAGGGGGTGAAGCAAAGGCCTGTAGGAGGGGGGATTGACGCCCACCATCGACTTGTATCATTTAACAACCTGCAGAAGACAATGAAGGCATACATGAAAAGGGCCTTCAGGAGAGACCCAGAGAACATGGGGGTTTAGGTTTCAGCTAAGCATCCCCTTTTTGCAGTTTTCTCCATGAGTAATTATATTGTCTACTTACATTAATTGTAAGAAACCTAACTCAATGAAAGCATGAGGGATGGGGGAGGAAGAGAGGGGGCAGTCAGGGAGGGGAACAGAGAGAGAATTATTCCAATTTGCTCATGTTACTGCTGTCTTCCACAGTATGAAAAGAGAACAAAGTGGAATGCAATGGGATGCTCACAGGCTGGGCCTCTGCAGTGAAAGCCACCACTCTGCTTTGCAATGGAAAGCACCCTTCAATGGTTATGATCTAAGTAGCCCATACATTAAATTGTTTCCGAAAACAATGCATAAAAATATAAATTCATGCTTCTCTGTTTCCTTCCTAGTTGCTGGAGAGCCAGGCCCCATGTAGCCTTTGCTACTGCACTCTTCATGGATTCCTGCAGGTATGCAATCCAAGATCCCTTCTTTGCACCCACACTGCTGCATGCCATGACAGCTGAGAAAGGCTTGTGGCTCCTGATGATTGTCACTTAAAAATTCTCCAGTGACACATTTCTATCCACTAAGGGGTGAGAAATTACAATGCTCTGCAAAGGATTGGATTATTATTTAGAAATAGGACTAGCAGACACAGTAAGAACATGATATGTTGCTGTGGGATGGTCTGTATGTCAAGTGTGTTGCTGATTGGTCAATAAATAAATCATTGATTGGCCCGTGGCCAGGCAGGAAGTATAGGTGGGACAAGGAGGAGAATAAAGCTGGGAAGTGGAAGGCTGAGTCAGATAGACACTGCCAGCCACCACGATGACAAACAGCATGTGAAGATGCCGGTAAGCCACGAGCCATGTGGCAAGGTATAAATTTATAGAAATGGATTAATTTAAGCTATAAGAACAGTTAGCAAGAAGCCTGCCTCAGCCATACAGTTTGTAAGCAATGTAAGTCTCTGTGTTTACTTGGTCGGTTCTGAGCAGCTGTGGGACTGGCAGGTGAGAGAGATTTGTCCTGACTGTGGGCCAGGCAGGAAAACTCTAGCTATAAATGGCGTTCAACATGGTGGCAAGAGTTTCCACCTAAAAAAAGAGAAAAAAGATTCTAAAACGGAGCTAAAACAGTTCCTAGTTGTCTCTCTCAATTGAGCGGCAGCTGCCGGTTTGAGCTACTGGTGGGTTCCTGGTGTGCGCGCTTGACCTGCAGTATGGCAGGAATGAGGCCTCTGCAAGTGGCACATTAAGCTGCGTGGTGGATTTAGCCTTTGCTAATGCAAAACAAAAAAAAAAGAGGTTTCTGGGCTACACGCTGCTTGGCTAAAAGCATAGACCCACGATAGCTCCCAGAACTGGCGGTAAACGGTAAAGGTACCATTGCCATGTTGGGAAGCTGAGGTGGGCGGAGCCAGCAGCCATAGCACCCTTTCAGTCTTACAAATGCTGCAGTTTAAAGCAATAGATTCACAATAAGACAAATTCAGATGTAATAGTTTACAATATGTGTAAAAGATACGTAGGCTTGAAAGAGACAAAAAAGGTGATATATACAGTTATATAAACAAATACATAGTTTTAAAAAATAAAGTCTTTAAAGAGACAGTAAAATTAATATAAAAATAAGCCACTTGAAGATGAATATTACACAGAAAATCTGGATTGTGTTGTCTTTGGGATTTTTAACTGCAGAAAAACATTTGATCGTAAAAGATGTTGAGTTAAACCAATATGTATATTTTTTTTTTAATTTTTTTCATTTATTCTTTTATTAATTTCACACAACACATTTTGAATCTATTCTTTTCTATCCCCCAAATTCACTCAAAATTTTCCCCAATTCTTTATGCTCCCAACTCCATGTTCTCTTTGTTCAAATGATAAAAATTAAACAAAAACAACATCAAAGTCCAAATTATGTTGACTTGCTACTACTCCTGCCCTGGAGTGTGGTCACACTGTCACTCCAATTAAAGAAAACTGATTTTCCTCTTCTTTCAGTAGCTATCAATTGCAAACAGCTTCTTTTTTTTTTTTTTTTTCAGTTTTTTTTTTTTTTTTTATTAGAGGGACCTGATTTTTTTTTTTTTTTTTTAGCTCTGACCCCCAGACAACTTTATTTATTAACATACAATTAAAATCACATTTCAGTATAAGTAAAATACCACCACATTTCCCCTTTTCTATTTTAATAAAAAGGAAAAAAAAGAAAAAGGTTATAACTAACAAAAGAAAAACTATATACAAAAGTACAATGACTATATACAATATATACAAGTAATAAATGTCTAAACAATGTCTAGTCCATTTGTATTTGACAAATTCAGAGAAAATAATTTCATTATCTATCCTATTTTGTTAAGTCCAAAATGTATCTAATTCACTTTCTATCCTAATTAATCTTCAACTATAACTAACTAACCTTCAACTATAACTAACTAATCTTCAACTCCCTCAGAGACCCAAGAAGGAAATAATATTAGCTAACAAAAATAAAAACAGAAAGTGCATGCAAGCAACTTCCAAAAAATTTGTGAGTTGACAGAAACAGTCAGCTGCCTGGACAGTCACCTGAGGTTTCTCCACAGTGTTGGGGCATCATCTTCAGCCTATAGGCTTAGCATATCTGACAGACTCATTTGTGAAGTAGGATGTACACAAGGTCGACAGTTCAACCTCACATTGGGTGAGAGCAGTCCATGTACCAGAAACACCTGAATTCCACTAGTGTCATGTCATGATTCAGGATTTTAAATTCTGGAAATTGTTGTTGATTTTTTAATTCAGCTGTCCATTCTTCTTGGCTGTGTATATATGGCTTCATCTTAGCATCCCGTTCTTCTCCACATCCCTCTGTCAAATGCCAGTTTACTATTGCGAGGCATGAGCTTAGTTACTCTTCAAGAATAACTGTTTCAGCTGCTGTTCCATTGCACATCAGAAGCCATCGGCCCACTGCCTATTCAGCTGCCTTCGAAGAAAAGGGCACTGTACCTTTTCCGAATTGCGAAGGCAACTTCAGGGATGGTGCCATATTGTCCTGGCCTCAGAAGATGCCTTTTGATAAAGCCATAACCACACTCGTTTTGGCAAGAATCAGTAGTCCTTTGTTTCATGTCCTGTCTGTCCATTTTGTCAGCAGTTGATTCAAGGATACTTTGTTGTCCAGTGGCTAACTTTTGCCACAATGAAAGTTAACTCCATATGCAATTTCTTCAATGCCCATATTTTCTCTGAAGTAGATTGGTACTGCCAGGAGCCGACATGTCTCATAATCATAACAAAAAAGAAAAATTTTCTAAGTTATTAAAACATTTTAAATGCCATATTCTGTAGATCTCTGAAGGGTTTGAAGATGACCTGTCTAAAATATATCTGCTCAATTTTTAAAACATATCTAATATGACTACAACTTCTATTGTAATATCTAACTACTAACTTTCATTTCTTTATATCCTAATAGTTGGTAATAATAACATTCAAGGATCAGAAAATTGCATTGTTAAATGAACGGTATAAGTACAATTAGAAATATACATATAGCATTTTCTAACAATATCAATTTCAATATATATAATTTGTATACAATATAAAACAATCCAATCCAATGTAAAGTATTTAAAACTAGTAATTGTCTTTTTCTTCTTCTTTCTTTCTCTTTTTTTTTTTAAACAAGAACCTTAAATCTAATCTCCTTTGCTTAGCCTTTTTCCTAACCCTTGACAACAACTTGTAACCAACTCCCCTAAACAACGAAAATTATCCCAGACCCAAAACTCATTAAAAAGACCAAAAAACCACCCGCCCCACACCACCTCTTTTTTTTTTTTTTAAATTTATTTTAATTTATTTTGCAATACAATTCAGTTCTACATATCAGCCACGGATTCCCTTGTTCTCCCCCCCTCCCGTCCCCCTCACCTTCCCCCCAACGCCCCCCCCTCCCCATTCCCATCTCCTCCAGGGCAAAGCCTTCCCCACAGACTGAGGTCAACCTGGTAGACTCAGTCCAGGTAGGTCTAGTCCCCTCCTCCCAGGCCAAGCCAAACAATCCTGCATAGGCCCCAGGTTTCAAACAGCCAACTCATGCAATGAGCACAAGATCTGGTCCCACTGCCTGGATGCCTCCCAAACAGATCAAGCCAATCAACTGTCTCACCCATTCGGAGGGCCTGATCCAGTGTGGACCCCTCAGCCATTGGTTCATAGTTCATGTGTTTCCATTCATTTGGCTATTTGTCCCTGTGCTTTATCCAACCTTGGTCTCAACAATTCTCGCTCATATAAACCCTCCTCATTCTCGTTGATTGGACTCCCAGAGATCCACCCAGGGCCTAGTCATGGATCTCTGCATCCAGATCCCTCAGTAGTTGGATGAGGTTTCTAGCACAACAATTAGGGTGTTTGGCCATCCCATCACCAGAGTAGGTCAGTTCGGGCTGTCTCTCGACCATTGCCGGCAGTCTGTTGTGTGGGTATCTTTGTGGATTTCTGTGGGCCTCTCTAGCACTTTGCTTCTTCCTGTTCTCATGTGGTCTTCATTTACCATGGTCTCCTATTCCTTGTTCTCCCTCTCTGTTGTTGATCCAGCTGGGATCTCCCGCTCCCCCAAGCTCTCTTTCCCTCGACCCTCGCCTTTCATTACCCCCACTCATGTCCAGGCTGTTCATGTAGATCTCATTCCATTTCTCTGTCATTGGGCGATCCCTGTGTCTTTCTTGGGGTCCTGTTTTCCGGGTAGCCTCCCTGGTGATGTGAGTAGCAGACAATTCATCTTTGTTTCATGTCTAGTATCCTGCTATGAGCGAGTACATACCATGTTTGTCTTTCTGAGTCTGGGTTACCTCACTCAGGATGATTTTTTCTAGATCCATCCATTTGTCTGCAAACCTCATGATGCCATTGTTTTTTTCTGCTGAGTAGTATTCCATTGTGTATATGTACCACATTTTGTTTATCCATTCTTCAGTTGAAGGGCATCTGGGTTGTTTCCATGTTCTGGCTATTACAAACAATGCTGATATGAACATAGCTGAACAAGTGCTCTTATGGTGTGGTTGAGCATTTCTTGGGTATATGCCCAAGAGTGGTATAGCTGGATCTTGGGGGAGATTGATTCCCAATTTTCTAAGAAAGCGCCATATTGATTTCCAAAGTGGTTGTACAAGCTTGCATTCCCACCAGCAGTGGAGGAGAATTCCCCTAGCTCCACATCCTCTCCAGCATAAGGTGTCTTCAGTGTTTTTGATCTTAGCCATTCTGACAGGCGTAAGGTGGTATCTCAGAGTTGTTTTGATTTGCATTTCCCTGATGATTAGGGATGATGAGCAATTCCTTAAATGTCTTTCGGCCATTTGAGTTTCCTCTGTTGAGAATTCTCTGTTTAGTTCTATAGCCCATTTGTTAATTGGACTGTTGGGCATTTTGATGTCTAATTTCTTGAGTTCCTTATATATTCTGGATATCAGTCCTCTGTCAGATGTGGGGTTGGTGAAGATCTTTTCCCATTCTGTAGGCTGTCGCTTTGCCTTGTTGACCGTATCCTTTGCTCTACAAAAGCTTCTCAGTTTCAAAAGGTCCCATTGATTGATTGTTTCTCTCAGAGTCTGTGCTACTGGTGTTCTATTTAGGAAGTAGTCTCCAATGCCAATGCGTTCAAGACTACTTCCTACTTTCTCTTCTAGCAGGTTCAGAGTAGCTGGATTTATGTTGAGGTCCTTGATCCACTTGGACTTAAGTTTTGTGCACGGTGATAGATATGGATCTATTTGCAGCCTTCTACATGTTGATATCCAGTTTTGCCAGCACCATTTGTTGTAGATGCTTTCTTTTTTCCATTGTGCACTTTTGGCTTCTTTGTCAAAAATTATATGTTCATAGGTGTGCGGATTAATGTCAGGGTCTTCAATTCGATTCCATTGGTCCACATATCGGTTTCTATGCCAGTACCAAGCTGTTTTTATTACTGTAGCTCTATAGTAGAGCTTGAAGTCAGGGATCGTGATGCCTCCAGAAGTTGTGTTATTGTACAGGATTCCTTTGACTATCCTGGGTTTTTTGTTTTTCCATATGAATTTGAGTATTATTCTTTCCAGGTCTGTGAAGAATTGTGTTGGTATTTTGATGGGGATTGCATTGAATCTGTAGATTGCTTTTGGTAAGATTGCCATTTTTACTATGTTAGTCCTGCCTATCCATGAGCATGGGAGATCTTTCCATTTTCTGACATCTTCTTCAATTTCTTTTTTCAGGGACTTAAAGTTCTTGTCATATAGGTCCTTCACTTGCTTGGTTAGTGTTACCCCAAGGTATTTTATGTCATTTGTGGCTATAGTAAAGGGTGATGTATCTCTGATTTCCTTCTCCACTTCTTTGTCCATTGTATATAGGAGGGCTACTGATTTTTTTGAGTTGATCTTGTATCCTGCTATGTTGCTGAAGGTGTTTATAAGCTGTATCAGTTCCTTGGTGGAATCTTTGGGGTCGCTCAAGTATACTATCATGTCATCTGCAAATAGGGAAAGCTTGACTTCTTCCTTTCCAATTTGTATCCCCTTAATCTCCTTATGTTGTCTTATTGCTCTGGCTAGAACTTCAAGTACTATATTGAATAAGTATGGGGAGAGTGGACAGCCTTGCCTTGTTCCTGATTTTAGTGGAATTGCTTTGAGTTTCTCTCCATTTAATTTGATGTTGGCTGTTGGCTTGCTGTAAATTGCCTTTATTATGTTTAGGTATGTTCCCTGTATTCCTGATCGCTCTAATACCTTTATCATGAAGGGGTGTTGGATTTTGTCAAATGCCTTTTCTGCATCCAGTGAGATGATCATATGGTTTTTTTCTTTGAGTTTGTTTATATGGTATATTATATTGACGGACTTTCGTATGTTGAACCACCCTTGCATCCCTGGAATGAATCCTACTTGATCATGGTGGATAATTGTTTTGATGTGTTCTTGGAGTCTGTTTGCCAGTATTTTATTGAGTATTTTTGCATCAATGTTCATGAGGGAGATCGGTCTGTAGTTCTCTTTCTTTGTTGTATCCTTGTTTGGTTTAGGAATTAGGGTAATTGTAGCCTCGTAGAAGGAGTTTGGTAATGTTCCTTCTGTTTCTATTGTGTGGAACAATTTAGAGAGTATTGGTATTAACTCTTCTTTGAAGATCTGGCAGAATTCTGCGCTGAAACCATCTGGTCCTGGGCTTTTTTTGGTTGGGAGACTTTTAATGACTGTTTCTATTTCGTTAGGGGTTATTGGACTATTTAAATAGTTTATCTGGTCTTGATTTAACTTAGGTATGTGGTACCTATCCAGAAAGTTATCCATTTCTTTTAGGTTTTCCAGTTTTGTCGAATAGAGGTTTTTGAAGTATGACCTGATGATTCTCTGGATTTCCTCAATGTCTGTTGTTATGTCCCCCTTTTCATTTCTGATTTTGTTGATTTGGATGCTCTCTCTCTGTCCTTTGGTTAGTTTGGATAAGGGCTTGTCTATCTTGTTGATTTTCTCAAAGAACCAACTCTTTGTTTCATTAATTTTTTGTATTGTTCTCTTTGTTTCTATTTTATTGATTTCAGCTCTCACTTTGATAATTTCCTGGCGTCTATTTTTCCTGGGAGACTGTGCTTCTTCTTGTTCTAGAGCTTTCATGTATGCTGTTAAGTCTCTAGTGTGAGATTTCTCCAACTTATTTATGTGGGCATTTAGTGCTATGAATTTCCCTCTTAGTACTGCTTTCATAGTGTCCCATAAATTTGGATATGTGGTGTCTTCATTTTCATTGATCTCTAGGAAGTCTTTAATTTCTTTCTTTATTTCTTCCTTAACCCATTGGTGATTCAGTTGGGTATTATTCAGTTTCCATGAGGTTGCAGGTTTTCTGTAGTTTTTGTTGTTGTTGAAATCCAACTTTAGACCATGGTGGTCTGATAGAACACAGGAGGTTATTCCAATTCTTTTGTATCTGTTTAGATTTGTTTTGTGGCCAAGTATGTGGTCAATTTTAGAGAAGGTTCCATGGGGTGCTGAGAAGAAGGTATATTCTTTTTTGTTAGGATGGAATGTTCTGTAGATATCGATTAAGTCCATTTGAGTCATAACATCAGTTAAGTCCTTTATTTCTCTGTTAAGTTTCAATTTGGGAGATCTGTCCAGTGGTGAAAGTGGGGTGTTGAGGTCTCCCACTATTAATGTGTGGGGTTTTATATGTGATTTAAGCTTTAGTAATGTTTCTTTTACATATGTGGGTGCCCTTGTGTTTGGGGCATAAATATTCAGAATTGAGACTTCATCTTGGTGGATCTTTCCTGTGATGAGTATGTAATGCCCTTCTTGATCTCTTTTGATTGATTTTAGTTTGAAGTCTATTTTGCTGGATATCAGTATGGCTACACCCGCTTGTTTCTTAAGACCGTTTGATTGGAAAGTCTTTTCCCAGCCTTTTATTTTTAGGTAGTGTCTATCTTCGAATTTGAGATGTGTTTCTTGTATGCAGCAGAAAGATGGGTCCTGCTTTCGTATCCATTCTGTAAGCCTATGTCTTTTTATAGGTGAATTAAGTCCATTGATATTGAGGGAAATTAATGACCAGTGATTGTTCATTCCTGTTATTTTTTGGTGGTGATGTGTGGGTACTTCTATACGTTGGGGTTTACTGCTGTGGCTTTATCTGTTGCCTGTGTTTTCGAGGGTATATCTGACTTCCTTAGGTTGGAATTTTCCTTCTAGTGCTTTCTGTAGGGCTGGGTTTGTGGATAAGTATTGTTTAAATCTGGCTTTGTCATGGAATGTCTTGTTCACTCCATCTATGGTGATTGAAAGTTTTGCTGGGTATATTAGTCTAGGCTGACATCCATGGTCTCTTAGTGTCTGCATTACATCTGTCCAGGTTCTTCTGGCTTTCAAAGTCTCCATTGAGAAATCGGGTGTTATTCTGATGGGTTTGCCTTTATATGTCACTTGGCCTTTTTCCTTTGCTGCTCTTAATATTCTTTCTTTATTCTGTACGTTTAGTTGTTTAACTATTATGTGGCGAGGGGACTTTTTTTGGGGGTCTAGTCTGTTTGGTGTTCTATAAGCTTCTTGTATCTTCATAGGCATTTCCTTCTTTAAGTTGGGAAAGTTTTCTTCTATGATCTTGTTGAATATATTTTCTGTGCCCTTGAGTTGGTATTCTTCTCCTTCTTCGACCCCTATTATTCTTAGGTTTGGTCTTTTCATGGTGTCCCAAATTTCTTGGACATTTTGGTTCATGACTTTGTTGGCTTTAGTGTTTTCTTTGACTGATGAATGTATTTCTTCTACTGTATCTTCAACGCTAGAGATCCTCTCTTCCATCTCTTGCATTCTGTTGATTATACTTGCATCTGAAGTTCCCAATCGTTTTCTCAGATTTTCTATTTCCAGCATTCCCTCTCTTTGTGTCTTCTTCATTTTTTCTATTTCCCTTTTCAGGTCTTGGACTGTTTCCTTCATTTGTTTCATTGATTTTTCTTGATTTTCTCTCAGTATTTTATTGTTTTCTTCCAGGACTTTATTGATTTCTTCTAATTTGTTTGCCCTTTCCTCTAGTTGTTTACAGCGTTCTTCACATTTTTTTGTCTTTTCCTCTACACAAGCCTCTAGCTTCTTCATGATGTCATTCATAAGGCTGTTTTCTTCTGCTTCTTCCAATTTCTGATGTTCAGGTCTAGGTGTTGGAGGAGGGCTAGGGCCTGGTGATGCTGTATTGCTATTCATTTTGTTGTATATGTTTCTGCCTTGACGTCTGCCCATCTCCTTGTGGTTCGTTCTTGGCCTTATCCGCACACTTGGTTCAGCCAGACCAGTGTTCCAAAAGGGAAGTCCGGAGCAAGATGGGAGCTGGGGGCCGGCCTCTAAGTCTCAGGAAGAGGCTTGGGGCTCAGGCGGATGGGCGTGGGGGCAGGGCGTGGAGACTGCAGGGCCTGCCAGGGGTCTTGGAGAAGGGGATCCTTCCCGGTGGGGCTAGCAGGGAACCTGCCGGGTGGCCAGAACCTGGGATCAAGTTGGGCAGGTCTTCCCTGGAGTGGCTGGTGCCCAGGGATGGGGTCTGGGGCAAGGAAGGGCACTCACCAGTTTTCCAAAAGGGAAGTCCGGAGCAAGATGGGAGCTGGGGGCCGGCCTCTAAGTCTCAGGAAGAGGCTTGGGGCTCAGGGGGATGGGCGTGGGGGCAGGGCGTGGAGACTGCAGGGTCTGCCAGGGGTTTTGGAGAAGGGGATCCTTCCCGGTGGGGCTAGCAGGGAACTTGCCGGTGGCCAGAACCTGGGGCCAAGTTGGGCAGGTCTTCCCTGGAGTGGCTGGTGCCCAGGGATGGGGTCTAGGGCAAGGAAGGGTACTCACCAGTTTTCCAAAAGGGAAGTCCGGAGCAAGATGGGAGCTGGGGGCCGGCCTCTCCCAATATGTATATTTTAAAGATACCTTGACTTCAAAATTTGGATGTAAAGATGTGTTGCTTTGGAAAGGAGACTCTGCTTTTGTTCCTACAGAAAGCCAAAGGCTGTGGATTTGTTCCAGATTAAGGTACATCAGGTTTGACCAGCCAAGACCCCCTGAAAGGTCTCCGATGACACCATGACCCAGATGATCCAACATCCAGAATGGTTTCAAGGCAACTGGATCAAACGATACACCCTCATGGACTATTCCATAATCCTAAAATTTTCTTTGTGTCCCCATAAGATACAGTGCCCCCCTCCAGCAGGAAGTAGTAAGAGAAGCTATGCCCAAATTCCCAAATTATATGTAATTTTACTTTGTTAAGGTTAAAACCTTCCTTTTTGAAAAAAAAAAAAAAAAGAAAAGAAAAAAAGAAAAGGAAAGGGGAAGTGCTGTGGGATGATCTGTATGTCACGTGTGTTGCTGATTGGTCAATAAATAAATCACTGATTGGCCCATGGCCAGGCAGGAAGTATAGGCAGGACAAGGAGGAGAATAAAGCTGGGAAGTGGAAGGCTGAGTCAGAGAGACACTGCCAGCCACCACGATGACAAACAGCATGTGAAGATGCCGGTAAGCCACGAGCCATGTGGCAAGGTATAGATTTATAGAAATGGATTAATTTAAGCTGTAAGAACAGTTAGCAAGAAGCCTGCCACGGCCATACAGTTTGTAAGCAATATAAGTCTCTGTGTTTACTTGGTCGGTTCTGAGCAGCTGTGGGACTGGCAGGTGAGAGAGATTTGTCCTGACTGTGGGTCAGGCAGGAAAACTCTAGCTACAATATGTGACATAAAATACAGTCTATAAAAACAGAGCCTAGACTGCCTTTCACTGTGCACAAACCAAAACTCATCCTTTTCTCAGGTAGATGCAGAGAAAATGCCCTAGTATCAGAAGTAGGACTTTGAAAACCAAACCTCTACCAAGGCTACTCAGCATGAATACACAGTGTTCATTTCCATCAAAGCTTATATTTTACACCTTTAATGTCAAAATAAAGTGACAAATTTGGGTTTATAGCTCACCATATGCTTGCAACTTCTTGGCCATTTGGGAAGCATATTGAAGCTATAGAGTGTAAAATTAAGCTGTAAGAATGTTGTAAACTGAGTTAAATAAGGTGTAAGGTTAAATTATACAACATTCACTCATTTTCTGCTATGGTTTTGATTAATTTTTTTAGCCATTAATGAAAACACAGGTTTTTGGATTTGAGTCATTAAATGACCAACATAATTAAATTTTACTGGGTACTAGGAAGCCACAAAGGAAAATCCACGTGGAACTAGAACCATTAGAAGGAGCTTGTTTGTGACAGTCAACAGGCAATTTATTTGGAAATAAGGATGATTATATCATCAACAAAAGAGTAACCTCCAGTTATAAATGTTACAGAATAAATGAGGGATTTGAGAAAAAGCCAAATTTAGTGAAATGGACTGATTAGGAAAATATATTGCTCATAAAAACCAGAAACTTTTCCTGTAACTTATTCATGGCAAATTGTTCAAAAAATTCATTAGGCAAGCTGATGCCTTTGGAAGAGGAGGTAGACTTTCTCATGACAATAACTCCACAAATGTGTTCTCTCAGGAATACCCAACTCGGCAACTAATCAAACAGAGCATTTCTTGCTTTTTATCATTCTCTAATTTCAAATTTTGTCATTGGCTAGAAATCTATTTTCAGTGTGCACAGCAGTAATTGAGGTTGAAAAATTTGTTTAGCTTGCAAACCATCACTGCAAATCAGATGCAGATTTACAGTTAAGTCAGTTAATGTTTTACCATGATTTCCTATAATATAAAAATGTGAATTTTATTTTTTAACCTTCTAAGTTTAAACAATGAGAGTAGTATGTATGATTGTATTGTCACGGACTGAAGGAGAGGTTGCTTATTCTAAAAAATGCAAATGAAATCTATTTTAAGTATGAAAAGGGTTTTATGAACTTAAGTTTCTTTCTAGTCCCTGCCAAAATCTCAGCATGATGAAAGAATCAATGGCAGAGCGTTGTCATGGTGACTGTGGTCCAACTCAGAAGGACTAGGTAGATGGTTTCCATTATAAACTACATGTTGGTAAATGTCATATGCTACTTAGAATTAGTGGTTTTAGGGAAGCAGTTGAGGAATAGCACTTCTTGTGTTAGAACCTCACATTTTAGTCTAACTGGGGCTGTATGAAATGTTATAAAACAAAGATGAAAAGCAACAAAAACAGTGCTTTGCTCTCAATATTCTCCCTTCCTTTCCCTGACCAGCGTTCCTGACCTGCTACACTGCAATTTTCTCCTGTAAGTAACGTATTTGAATATCTTTAGATTTACTCAAGTTGCATTCAGTGTTCTCTTACCTCTGCACAAGGTTTTAGCTTCTCTTACTCTACGCTGACTTGTTTCCTTACTTGTTAAAAATATCTCAAATGAGTGATTAATGCAGCAGAGTATAACTAAACCTGTATTTAAAGTTTAAAAGATGACTGAACCAAGATGTCCTAATAACATTAATAAATTGAAGAAAAGTGCTAGATATGAACACTGAAATTACTTCACTTAAGAACTATTATTTGTCAAAATCAAGCTTATGGCTCTGGACAGGGACATTCAAAACATGCTTCAAATATAAATATTTCATCACTGTAACCTGAAATCTTCTTTGAAAATGCTAGAAAGAATTGCCTTAAGGTATAACTAAATTATTTAAGACATCCCTTTTCAAGTTTAATTTGTAATCCTAAATGATATTAATAGTAAAAAGATATTCAGAGTTAAAAATGAAGGTATATCATTGACCTGGTTTTTGGAAAACTATCAGTGCATTCCATATTTTGTTTATTTCCAAAATTCCAACTTGAGAGAAATTAATTTTCCTTACCAAGGAAAATTCTTGTAACGATTTCTTCTGATTAACTGCAGATGGCTGAGCAATTACTTAAAGAATTTGGTTTGTCAAAGAGTGGTCCCACTCACTGAGTAAAATGTTTCCATAAGAAAGGAGAAATAAGCCGGGAAGTGGTGGCACAAACCTTTAATCCCAGCACTTGGGAGGCAGAGCCAGGTGGATTTATGTGAGTTTGAAGCCAGCCTGGTCTACAGAGATCCAGGACAGGCACCAAAGCTACACTAAGAAACCCTGTCTTGAAAAAAGAAACAAGAAATAATAAGGCAGCCTTCTAGGCAGTATAGATAACTTTAAGAGTCATGTCGGCACGCATTGGTAAGTAAAGTGTTTCACTGTAATCAATCTTTAATATTTGATCTGAGGGGCATTGTTAGACAACCCCCTCTTAATGGCTGTATGGTCATCAAGTTAAAGATATTGAAAAATTAGATAGAAGATTGGGTTAAAAAGTAATACTCAGTAATGAATGTTCATTAACTTCACAGTCAATGGTGTTCAGAAGTCATAAATCTTGGATTATAGAATTGCAAGAATTTAACTCCCAAACACACTGAAAATTGGAAATAAATCTTATGTATCAATGTTACATAGAAAAGTTACATGCATATATAAAATGTGATTTTGTTTCACACAAAAAATACCATTGTGTAGATGGCAGCAGGATCATTGAAAGGTGCTCTCACTCCTTCACTGCAGTGCTTGGGATTAGTAGCAGGGCTACTGCAATCACCCACACGTTTATCAGTCAGTTTAAAATTGGCTGGATGTTGGATTATCATTAGAAAATGATTAGAAAAAAATGATATTTTCACAGGATTGACAACAAAAGTATACTCATGAGTTATAAGACTTGTTAATTTCTGAGCTATTTGGAGTCAAACTGTCAAATCATCCCTATAGAGAAATCCTTAAATAGAGGAGAAATTAGGACAATAATTAAGGCGTTGAAAATGATGGTGCTTTTGGGGATTATGAATTGCCAAACAAAGTTGTTTCTTTTCACAGGTTTTCTTTAACGGGAATGAAGAGACCAACTTCATTGTGTCATTAGAACCCTTTAATTACTATTTTTGTTACAGTATCATGCCTGTAGTAGTATAAAATGAGGAATCCATAAAGCATTTTGATTAACCACTCTAAAATTGTGTTTCTACAGTTAATGTATGAACTGAATTAGAATTTATTGAAGATAAAAATGTCACTTTAGATATGTGATAACTCCTGCCGTCTCAAATGAATGATAATATCTCAAATGTATGATAAAAGATTAAGTCCATTTTAAATAATAATTCATGTAATTTAGAAAGCAATTGACTGGGTGGAAACGAGGTTTGTTTTTAATACTTCTGATTTTCCTACAAATGGAACAGCATAGTGGTACAAATATTGTCCTAAATAGAGGAAAACGAAACAAAAAAAAAACAATCCCCCAAAAACAACCCCCCCAAATCAAACCTTGTTCCTCACCCTCTTTGCTGTTCATTATCTCTGACCATTCCCAGACAATTTTCTTCCAGCCCACAATTTTCTTCAGATGCCTGAAATGTCACCAGAATATATGACTCTATCTTATATTAACATACCCTTGACAGACTTTAATATATAAATATAGGCACTCTATGAGATCAACCACAAAGCAATAATAAATTAGAACAATGCAACAATACACTTTACTGAAAGTTATTTATTTTAAACTGTTGAGATGTTTATTTCTGGAATTTTCCACTTAATATTTAAGACTGCTCTTGGATATAGGTTAACTTGGACTTTGGAACCTATTATTTTGTTCAAGAGTCTGATGCATAAGATTAGGATATTAGAATGTTTTCTTCATTTGCAGGTTCCTGCTCTGGGGTCATCCATGAGTGCATGGGGATGGTTTCCCTCTTTTAGGAGAGAGCAACTAGCTTCTAAGAGTAGGGATAGTTAACACTCTGTCTGCCTTGGGTGTTGATCTGCACTATAGACATTTGCTTTTATTATAGGTTTAATGGTTCTATCTTATAAACTCTGAGAAGCTTAAGACACAGGGAAGGGTGAGAATGTAGCTCTGTCATATCCTGGATAAATATACACACAGAGAGCAAATAAAAGACACAAAGAGAAGTTTAAAATTATATAAATCACATACCTACATAAAATTACATATGGAAAACACCACTGAGCACTGTTTGAAATTTGGTCATCACATGGTTAAAAGAACTTTCTTTTTTTTTTTTTTTAATTTATTTTGCAATACAATTCAGTTCTACATATCAGCCATGGATTCCCTTGTTCTCCCCCCCCTCCCGTCCCCCTCACCTTCCCCCCAACCCCCCCCCCATTCCCATCTCCTCCAGGGCAAAGCCTTCCCCACAGACTGAGGTCAACCTGGTAGACTCAGTCCAGGTAGGTCTAGTCCCCTCCTCCCAGGCCGAGCCAAACAATCCTGCATAGGCCCCAGGTTTCAAACAGCCAACTCATGCAATGAGCACAAGATCTGGTCCCACTGCCTGGATGCCTCCCAAACAGATCAAGCCAATCAACTGTCTCACCCATTCAGAGGGCCTGATCCAGTGGGGACCCCTCAGCCATTGGTTCATAGTTCATGTGTTTCAGCAAGTGACAAGATCTGCATCCACACTCTATATTCAGCAAGTCTCTTTCTGACTAATGTTATTTTCTGCTTTTCCAGGAAGTATACTTCCTAAAGACTTCCATGTGATATAAAGTCCTTTAAGAGGTTAACATGTGAAGTCGGGATATAGCTGAGGGTTACTTCAACACTTGAGTAGTCTGCATGAGGCCCTAAGTTTGATCCTCAGTACTGCAAATAAATGTTTATTCTGTGCCATTCATTATACATTGGAAGCACATAATTTGGTTTTAATTTTATAGGAACTATAGATATATATCTTAACTATAGTTAAGATAATTTGAAATTTAAAGTGTTGGAATTATTTAAAATTTGGTGACTTTTAAAGTTAGATTGCACTTTTACATTATGAAATAAACATGAGGGTGAGGGTGAGGATATGGGCTGAAAGGTTTTCTTTTTTTCTTTTTTTTTTTTTTTTTTGTATGTCAAGCTGATGAGGGGTGGAAGAGTAATCTGGACTCTCGTGACAATAGAGTCTAGTGAGGGACTGTCTAGAATAGGCAGTTTTATGGGGTAAGACCCAGTCAGACATGGCTGCACCATTTCCTGGGTTTGGTTTTGAACTGTAGAGTAATAGAGTTGAATAGTAGGCATGCATATGCTAGTCCATTTCTCTCTCTCTCTCTCTCTCTCTCTCTCTCTCTCTCTCTCTCTCTCTCTCTCTCTCTCTCTCAGGTTTTTCGAGAGAGGGTTTCTCTATGTAGCTTTGTGCCTTTCCTAGATCTCGCTCTGTAGACCAGGCTGGCCTCGAACTCACAGAGATCTGCCTGCCTCTGCCTCCTGAGTGCTGGGATTAAAGGCGTGTGCCACCACCACCTGGCTAGTCCATTTCTCTCTTCTGTGTGTAGTGATATGATGAGCTGCCTCAAACACCTGCCACTGTGACTGCCCCAGCATGATGGGCTGGAACCTAGAATGGTAAGCAAAAATAAGCACTTCCTCTCTTAAAAAATAAAATAAGAATTTAAAAATGGAATGAATGTGTACTTTTTTAAGTGTTTGCAAAGTTGCAATTTGTGGTATATATAATCTGAATATATAATGAAGTATGTTTTTAATCCTTGTGACCTTAGGCAAAATCCACTAAGACTATTTGAACATTGTATGAAAAATGTGCTGGGTACTCTAGTTGGAACACAGATGGAACTGAATTCTCCCTTTCCCCCTCTGATCTGTATTCCATCACCTTGGGAGAACCGAAGATACTAGCTCTGTGGGCTTGGTAGTCACCATGGAATGATGTTTCCTGCTACAGCTCTTTATGTACTTCACGAGAAAATGTTTATCTTGCATTTTTCTTGAAAATAGTCTTACTGAGTGTAGCATCACTTTGTTTCATTTTCATGGAAAATTTGATTATTCACTCTGTGGCCAGCCACACTAGCCAAATGAGTGAGCTTCAGGCCCAGGAAGAGAATCTGTCTCAAAACCAAAGTAGAGAAATGGAAACACTCAAGATAGACCTCTCACTTATGTACACACACACACACACACACACACACACACACACACACACACACACACAGACAGATGCACAGACATGTATATACAAATGTTTGCAAACACTACACACAGATACACATAATTCTTAGCACCACACACACACATGCACACATACACATACAGGCAGGCACACATTGTCACTACCACTTCCAACAGCAGCAAAACAAATACTCAATAGTTCAGTCATCCTTTCTGTTAGTGTTAATTTGTAGATGTAACCGTCTAGTTAAATAAGAAACATAGAGCCAATGCAAAGAGGAAAGCCCAAGAGGTCAGAGTAATAGCTAAGAGCTAAAAGCCTTTCCCTTCACTGCTGCTGTTGTCCTCTTCAGCAAGAGACCTACTTCCTGTCTGTTTGTCTTTATATAGACTTTCTGTTCTGCCTTCTCATCGGTTGTAAACCCAACCACATGACCTCCTCATCACTGCCTGTCTGTACAGACCTCCAGCTCTTCTATGGTTGGTGTTGAGATTAAAGGCATGTGTCTCCATGCTGGCTGTACCCTTGAACACACAGAGATCCACCTAGCTCTGCCTCCTAAGAGCTGGGATTAAAGGCATGCACCACCACCGCCCAGTTTCTGCTATGGCTTGCTATTAACTCTGACCCCCAGGCAACTTTATTTATTAACATACAGATAAAATCACATTTCAGTACAATTAAAACATCACCATATTAATTTATTGAAATAATCTCTGAATTAGTATTTTCTGTCAATGTTTTGAACTCATACTGCACTTCTACAATGATTGCTTTAATGTTTTCTTATATTCCTACTGAATTTGCTCTGTCATCTCTTTTTATGAATTTAATTATATTTTTGAAAGATTCCACAGTGTTAAATGTTTCATTTTTTTTCCACAATGGCATTGGAATAATTGCAGATGAATCCACAAAAACAATGAATCTGCACTCAGATCTTAGCCTTGTCACAGAATTCAACTCCACGTGGGTCATAGAAGTAAAATATAAAGTGTAAAACTGTAATACTTCTAGGGAAAGGAAAAGTCTTAAGTGACTCTTGGATTGAAGATGATTGGTAAGATAGATATGGAAAGTATGACATAAATGTGAAATTGGCTCACTTGTTCTTATTAAATAAAAATGTGCAGGTGAGAATGTGGTTATGATAATTCTGAGATAACCTACAGGCTGGGAAAACTACTTTATACAATATGATAAAGGACTTATATGTAATGTATTCAAAGAACTTTTAAAATGAATAAGAAAATTAACAATAAAATTAAATTGGACAAAATATTCATAGACAAATCATCAAAAATGGAAGACAAGTCTTGATACACTATGCGTATCAAATAAAACTCAACAACATTTGCCATTTGGAAACTGAGGTTAAGAAGAGTAATTGAAAGTACACGATTCCCCAAACATGGGCAGCACCTTCTAGTAGGCTGAAGGTAAAGGGCACAAATGGAGAAAGTATGGAAGCGGGATTTTGCTCCATGACTTCATGCTCTACTTCACGCTCTGAGTCAGGGTAAGTGTGTCAATTGCTCCTGTCATCGCCGGAGACTCTGGAGTCCTCAGCCTTTCAAAGTAAACTCATAATTTGAGTTTCAGCTTTCAACTGATTCTATACCATTGCAATCTTCTTAAGAGGTTTCTAGCCTCTTGGACTGAGCATATATTGGGCTCTGTCTTTCCACTGTGCACTCCTAGCCCCTGAGGTGTAAGCCAAGTCAGTAAAACTCTATACCCCCCACCTTGGGAGACTTTTATTCCTTTTTTTATTTAAATTTTTTTCTTTCCTTTTACATACCAACCCCTGCTCTGCCTCCCTCCCCTTCTCCTGCTTCCCCTACCTACTCTCATCCCACCCCAATCCTCTCCTCTATTTATAAGTACAAGCACTGCATATACTTGCATTACATATATTGGCTTTAAAATGTCATTTAAAAATGACAGATTTTTGGTGCCAAGACTTTCTGTCTTTCTGTGTACTTGAAATAAACAATTAGGTGAATAGGTTGGAACAAATTTTCTCAGTATTAAGAATTACAGATAAGCAACAGGAATGGGCAAAATATACTCAAATGCCAATGAATTAGAGTTAGAGACATTTAAAGTCATGTTTAGGGTAATATGTGTACAGATGGGGTTTGTGGATACCATACATTCATATGTTAGTATATCATGTATTCCATTACTCTGTTATTTGAGACATTAGACACAATGATACTAAATTAACACTAGGCACATGTAGTGCCCAGTTCTTGGATTCTTATATCTCTTTCTAATCAAAGGACTCCTTGTGGAAAACAGTATTCTAGGGCTATGACAGGAAAAATATAAGCATATAAGCTCAGAGTATCATGTGTCAGAAAACAAGGAATTACTCAAAACAATCAAGGCACACATGCACACATGTGCATGTGTCTGGTAATAGGAGAATGTTTGAAACAACCACAAAAATCAACAGAAGAACCCTCAGTTGCTAAATCTGAAATAATTTGAGGAGTGAAGTAGTACTGAGTTATAACCCAGGGCATGTATAATATATTTGTGTGGGAATAGGATGGATACAATCAAAATAAATTGTACATATATGAAATTCTCAACAAATAAACCATATTTAAAAACAGTAGTTCAGAGAGTAAATACATAGAAGAAGAAGACTTAAATCCCTCAGACAGAGATATTCCATATAATTCACAGTTCTGCACCCTCAGGAAGGGGAACATAAACTGTCAGGAACAATGAGTAGAAAAAAGAAGAGTTTTATGGTGTAAAAGTCTGGCAAGCGCCGGGCGGTGGTGGCGCACGCCTTTAATCCCAGCACTCGGGAGGCAGAGCCAGGCGGATCTCTGTGAGTTCGAGGCCAGCCTGGGCTACCAAGTGAGTTCCAGGAGAGGCGCAAAGCTACACAGAGAAACCCTGTCTCGAAAAACCAAAAAAAAAAAAAAAAAAAAAAAAAAAAAAGTCTGGCAAGCACTTGATGAAGGTTGAAGGCATCAGCAATGATGATTTGTGTAAGTGGACACATTTCACATCTAACGACTGGTCTTTCATCTCTGTAATAGTCCTCTTCAAAATTATATTGCTTACCCAACCAAGAGCAAATCTGCAGATATCCTAACAGGAAGATGTGTATCACATTGCTCTGAATTGAAACATTCTATCCTGCAGGGAGTTACTAAAGGCAGACTCGGAAAGTAAACAAAACTTACAAGGTTCAAAAGTAAGACACTCAGACGTCTCAGGGAGCTCCTGAAACTTATAGGATTCACACAGTTCCTCCCTGAGGTCATATAAGCAGCAGTAACTGCTGTGGAAAAGAGACTATCTAACCTTCTGAGTTGATTGCAAATCATGCAGGGAGCTCCACAAATTGAGCTTTTTTGAGTAACTATCCAGGCTGAGATAGGCTTTTCAGTGATATAGCCATCTTTGAGAGATTTATGCTTCTGTAGTAACTCCATAAACTCACTGGTCCACTAAGCTAGATTTGTGTGGAATACTGTGTTTTGTGTGTCATCAGTGACTTATCTGGGATGAATAGCCATCCATTCACATATTCCCATAAAAGTCACTCAAAGGATAGTCCACAAAAAAGCATTCCCTGAACTCCTCAAAATGATCATTCATTAAAAATAAGAAAAGCTGGATGTGGTGGTGTGCACCTTTAATCCCACCATTTGGGAAGCAGAGGCAAGAGGATCTCTGAATTCAAGGCCACCCTGGTCTATAGAGTTAGTTCCAGGAGAGTCAGGACTACACAGAGAAACTCGGTCTTGAAAAACCAACCATGAGCTCCCCAAAAAATAAAAAAAAAGAAAGGAAAGAAAACTCACAGAAATTGTCATGGTTAATAGAAACCTTAAAAGATATGATAGCTGTATGAAATGCTGCATGCTGCATAAAATCCTGGAAATAAAAATGAGAGATTAGGGGAAAAGGGAAATTTGAAAAAAAAAAAAAGGTATTGGCTTTAATTGTTAATAATATACCAGTTTGGATTCATTAATAACAAGAAATATGCCATAGGGGTACAGAACAGTGGTAACAGGAAGAACTGAGTGTGGGGTGTGAGGGGCTCTCTGGCCCTGGCTCCACACTAAGTGGAAAATAGACTGCTGGGCCTTTAACCTACCTTGTTTTCATGTCCTCATTGTATTGTTGCTGTTCTTTTAGCAAATAAATTCGAATTCTTCAATTCTCTCTTCCATTTAGGGTAAAATACCATTTCTCCCCACATTTTAGACTTAACATTTTTTTATTACTAGAAATTCTTTTTCCTTTAAAAAAAGTGTCACTTTTCACTATTTTCAGCGTCTTAGAGACATTAAATGTATCTCTTTTCAGTCAGAATCACCAAGTATAATTAAATAGTATCCCAGCACTTTTAACAACTGTTGATGTGCGGTGCATCCATTATCCACAGCACCAGCTTTTT